ACAAAGAAAACAGTGAGGATTAACTGAGCAAAAAAAAAAAAAAAAAACCCCAAACCACCAGTCATTAGAGGAAGCTCAGCTGTAAAACAAGAACTTTAAATACACCAGCAAGAAGTTACAGTTTTAGCTCACAGGGTCAGCAAATTATGCTCTTCAGCTCTCCTACTCTGTTGTTCATATATATATGTGTATATATATAAATATATATATATGATGTCCTACTCCTATGTCCTGCCTGCAGTTCATACAGAGCAGGCTTCTCTCTTTTTGATGCATACTTAGTGTATCGCACTACATCAGCATGCCAGAACAACATCCTGCAGTCCCAAACCAAATATTATGCATTTTCATCTGCAAAATTACTCAACCATCTAGGTGTAACAGCAGTAACACAGCATCACAGGACCATTCAGGTCAGAGGGAACCTCAGGAGCTCTCTCATCCAGTGCTGGGCTCAGAGTGGTCAACACTGAATTCGGACCAGGTTGCTTATGGCTTTGACCAGTTGTGTGTTGGAAGCCTCCAAGGACAGACATTCACAGCCTCCTTGGGACCCTGTCCCAAAGCTTAATTATCCAATTCAGGTTGCATAAAAAGTCATCTGCTAGAATTTCCAAAACATTCACTGAGTTTTCTGAAGTGAGGTCTGAAGACTGCCACTGAAACAATTATCACAGCAAAGAGTACAGCTAATTGCAGCTGAGGGGAATTCTGCCATTACACTAACGGTAACATGAAGTCACCTTCTGTTGCTCTAAATTATTTGCCTTACTGCAGTAAAAAGGGTACCTGTTTCAGAAAAAAATTTGTATGGCCAGTTATGGAAAGAGTCAAGAGATATTTTAATTAAAGCTGGGCTAATACAGGGGGAAAGGGAATTTTTTTTTGTTTTTGTGACCCTAATTTCTTTCACCCATTCAGTGCTTGCTGTCTCCAAAGGCAGAGCTGTTTGGAATACCTGAGGAATGACACTGCGTATACAACTCATTTTGCTCATTCTACTTCAATCCATGTTCTCTGAAAAGGCAAGTACTTATCAAATCTTTTGCTTATATTAAGGCCAGAAGTACCTAGGAGTTACATAGATCTTATCTGTGTATTCAAGAATGCAGTGCTGCTACAAGAAAGCAAAGAGCAGCCACAAGCATTTTTGGATCACACTACCTGAATACACCAGAAGACTTTACCAGAAGGAAACATATGAACTGTTTTGAAGGACTGAGTGGAGTCCAAATAATAGTGTCCAAATTTAAAAGCCAAAACAAAACAAAACCCTCCCTTTCAGACTTAGCAAACTACTGCATTCAAGGCAATCACACAATTTTTGTTGCACCTAAAATATTTAGGTATGCTTGTTACAAGTTCCATTGTGCAGGACCTGGCCAGGCTAAAAGGAAGTTCTATAAAACAGCCTATACAATCCCATTCCCCAGTTTAGGGTTTCATTACTTGGTCCGAGTACAACCACAAGCACCTCCAGGTAGCCCATGCACCTTTACACCCATAAAGTTGCTTACAGCTTTTCCTCCTCTTCTTTCCCCCAGCATGAAGCAACTTCCCCACCAGTCATCACCAACTGTGTTGGTCAACAGAAGTAACAGGACCAGTAACATCTAAATTAATCTTTACAACTCAAGCTACTGGATCACCCCTCAAGAAGCTCCGCTACCCACACTTTTAAATCCTGCCAACTGGGCAAATAAACCCTGAGGATTACATAGCAACCACTGAGATACACGACCAAAACGAGTACTGCACAAAATCAGTAAGTGCCTCTTGGACAACCTTAAAATACCTCTTGAAATCACACACAACTATGCTGACCTAGAAAATGCCAACCTACAAAAATACTATTCTAAGTTCTTACTATTTGAACTGTAATAGTAACTTCCAGCCCCTTTCCACATTAAAGCCTTGACATACCTTCCCGGGTAGTTAACAATGCTGGCAATTAATAAATCCTAGATTTTAAAAGCAGACTGTCATTTCTCCAACCAGCCTAAAACACATTTAATCTATGTGAACTACAATGAGCAAGATTAAGCTTGGACACTCATGGTCTGTCCCTACCCCTTTCAGGCCAGAACTGAGAGCCTTAAAAATGACATTTTTACAAAGTTTGGTAAACTCAATAGTAGATAGATGGGGCAAAATTTTAACTCTGTGTCTTTCCCTTCAAATTTGAAATTTAAGCACCACCACACACACCCCCAGGCTACATGAAATTTCGGTGAAGATGAGAACAAGTCAGCCTTGGGCGTCAGCCTCCCCATCAATGGGAGCATCCCCACTGTAGTATTCTCCCTGACATGATATTGAATATACAGCTGGTTTGGTAGGTCCATGATGATGTAACATGGCGAATTATGGCTGAAGAATCAGACTTGGTAAAACTACCAACAGGTAAATGCACCTAAGAAACACAAACGTATCCCCATATAATAGATCTTGAATAGTTGTAGATTTTTGAAGGGAGACAAGAAACGTAAGACTTCTCCCTCCCGTCCCTTACAGGAGATCCTCCAAAATCTTCAATTAAATGTTATGAATGGCAGTAGTCTGCAATATAATCAGCTTCTCTTTTCTAGTGCCAGACATTAAATACTCACTGTTCCTGACATTCTCAATTTGAAACTCTCTAGTAAAATCTAAGTATAGTGCGCTTGTTTCTCTTCTATCTCTTATTCTGCACACCCCTTGGAACAATTATCATATAATTTCAATCCAATGCTCAGTATACATCAAGTCTTGAACAATAACACCAACACTCAATGAATTTACGCATCTCTGCAAGGAAGCCAAGGGTTCACCATCATTCATTTTTGCATGCATTTGCTATGCATTCAGAATGTTTTAAGGAAAGCTACTTAGTTTGCCTGTGTGCAAGACCATGTATGTGAGAAGTTTTACCATATATAGTTTCTTCTCCATTTCACTGTGGTTTATACTGACTCTTTCACTTCCTACTGAGTCATGAAGCAGTAAGAACTTATACATACAAGTACTCTTTCAAACAAAAAGAATGAGGAAGCTCACAAACAGGTCATGTGACAAGTTTTAAAATGAATACTAATGTTCGTATCAGGTCTCTGTGCTTGATTCTTTCCACTGATGCAACTCTCAAACAAAAACCCTAAACACACTTAGAGCAATTTTACAGGCCACTAAGTAACTTAACTTGTCCTATACCAATAAGAACATCCATCTCTAATGCTTTAGACCTTTCAGATACCACTGCCTGCCTCTCTGCTACACTACGTGTTGCAAGAACTTCCTTCTAGTCACCTCTTCCTCAAAGATTGGTTGCAGCCAGATACATTAGAAGTCCTATTGCAGCATAACAAGAACAGTAAATTTCAAAGACAAGACTAAAGTTAAAATTGCACCCAATTTTTCTAAAGATATTCTCCGGTTTTATGTAGTATTTCTGGCACCTGGCAAGAGATTTAATTTCAATCATGGTTTTAAGTATGACATATCACAGTGTATCAGAAATCACTCTGACATAAAGCATCTCTTCTTTGTCATACAGAAAAAATATTATAAAAATACTGGTTTGACAATATAGGATAATATTGATAATCTCAATATGCAATTGAGGCTTGGAAGATTTACTGAATGGAACTTTCTTCCAGTTTAATTATCCCAATTCAACCTAAATATTATGAGTTTACTGATTTAACAATTATTTCTTGATACTTTGCTCTCCCACACAATGAACTCTATGGCCAGGGTACTTCCATTCGCATGCTGTTCTGCTTCGAAGCCAAACACAACCCAAAGCAACACAAGCTGAAGCGACACAGGCCCCTCCTCTCAGCACCGCAGTAGCAGCACTATAAAGGCACCTTCCACTGGTATAGTTATTTATATCCTGCTGGTACAACTCACAGAGGAAAAAAATGTAACATTCCAAGGTGTCTCTTGATTTAAAAGCACACACAGATATGTTACACTGTACAAACCCAGCCTTGGGAAATTGGGTAAAAATAATGGCTTCTACCCCACACTTCACACGTTACTGAGACTGGCCAAAGCACAACACTGCTGTCACTACCAATATACTAACCATTTTACAACTCGATGATTTATTGCTATGTAAAGGACCACACTAAAGGATGCAGCTCTAAAATTTCTTTGGGTTATGGGCCTGGGTATGAGAATATTAAACAATGGAGGGGGGGGGGGCACCAACAAAAAAGCTTCCACATCCCTTTGTAAGAAGAAAATGGTAAATGCCTTCTTTTTTTCTTTCCTTTTTCTAA